GAGGAGTGTGGCAGCAGGGCCAAGGAGGGGGTTCTCCCCCTCTGCTCTGCTCTGGTGAGGCCTCACCTGGAGTGCTGCTCACAGCTCTAGTGTCCCAAACAGAAGGACATGGAACTGTTGGAGGAAGGCCAGAGGAGGCCACAAAGCTGCTCAGAGGACTGGAGCATCTCCCCTATGAGGACAGGCTGAGGGAGTTGGGACTGTTCAGCCTGGAGAAGAGAAAGTTGTGTGGAGACCTCAGAGCAACCTGCCAGGAGCTGAAGGGGCTCCAGGGAAGCTGCAGAGGAACTCTTGGTTAGGAACTGCAGGGACAGGACAAGGAGCAATGGGGAGAAATTGAAAGAGGGGAATTGAGACTAGATCTTAGGCAGAAGTTTTCCCTGTGAGGGTGGTTAGACACTGGCACAGGTTGCCCCGGGAGGCTGTGGCTGCCCCAACCCTGGCAGTGTTCACAGCCAGGTTGGCTAAAGCCTTGAGCAACCTGCTCTGGTGGGAGGTGTCCCTGCCCCGGGCAGGGGGTTAGGGCTGGATGATGTCTAAGCTCCATTTCAACCCCTTTCAGACATGCTATGAAACTATGGATGTTAACACCACTGTCACTCGTGGAACAGGCTGGGTTAGTATAGAAGGTTTCATGTTTCTAAAATTATGGAATAAGGAAATCCCATCAGCTCTTCCCATTCTTCAGAGACCACACAAGCCATTTTCACATGTGAAATTGGTTTCTTTCTGAGCTAGAAAGGTTAAACTGCCAAGGACCTGACTGGTTTAATTAAGGGACAACTGGTGCATCTCCTCCCTAGGGAAACCAAAGTAAAGGTTACATAAAACACAAACTCATGCTCAAGCCAAACTCTAATTCTGTTCATGAACCTCCAGCTGACACTAAGGATAACTCTAACTCAGTGTGGGACTTCAAAGGATCTCAGGGAATGGCATGAAAACATCATGACATGAAGACTTTTCCCTATTTTATTGATGGAGAAGCCAAAGCAGAGAGAGGGGAAGGGATCTGCCTGAGGTCAGGCTGTGTGTGAACACCTGCCATGGTTTCTGATTCCCTCTTCCACAGGAAGTCCTATCCCTACTAACATCAGCATTCCAATGACAGCTGATTTAAGTGGGAACTAGATTTCACAGTGAACCTGTGGAGACCCTCCAACATTCCTGTTCCTGCTGCTACTTTGTCCATTTTCCTCTTTATTTTTCTTCTCAAAGTGACATTGTCACGAGACCTTTATGTTTGTTTTTTGCCACTTCTTCTGCTCCTGCACTTTTCCTTACAACTGTTTTATTGGGATATCACTGCCAACTCCAGAGCAACTGACTGGGTGGGATGTAATCCAGAGTGGAGAAATGGAACCAGATGGAGCAGGTGAGCTGCAAAGCAGGAAAAAGACTTCACATCACAAGCAAATATCTTCAGTAATATAGAAAGTAAAGAGACATCAAAAAGGCAGGAAAAAAATCTGTCTGGCAGGAAGAGTGAGGTAGGCTGAGCCATCAGCTGGACAGTGTTTGCTGTTCCCCTCTCTCCATCCTTCTGAAGATGAAATCAGCCCCACCAGCTGCTCAGTTAGGGCACTGTGATGACTGGTTTGCACCTTGGGGGAAAAATGTTGGCTCAACTAAGGTCAGGAGTGGAGTTCCAGGGGTGGAACATCCAAGGGGTGCAGGTCATGGAGATAAAGTGACTCCTTCCACTTTCACCCATCTGTCAGTTGAGGAGTGGATGAATCACAGATTCAGAGATTATCCTGAGCTGGAAGAGACCCCCAAGGATCACCAGTCCAACCCCTGCCCAGGACACCCCAACAATCCACCCTGGGCCTGAGAGCATTGGCCAAACACTCCTGGAGCTCTGTCAGCCTTGGGGCTGTGCCCACTGCCCTGGGGAGCTGTTCAGTGCCCAAACACCTCTGGGGGAAGAACCTTTGCCTAATCTCCAGCCTAACCCTCTGGGGGTAGAATCCTGCAGTGCTAACACAACCTGCTACCCTGCTCAGAGCTTCCCTTCTGTGCAATATATGTGTGAACCAGGCCAAACTTAGAGCTTTCCATCTCTAATTTCAGGTGTTTATCTACACTTCCACAATTCAAAGTTTCTAGGAGCATCACAATTCTGTAACTGGTTACTTCCAAGGGGAAAACTATGAATAAATTCAAGGATTTCTTGTGGCCAAAATAAAGAAAAAGCATCACCTGGGGCAGAAGTCAGTGTGTGTTGTAGTGGAGAATGAAGGATTGTAAGGAGCACTGAGGTTTGTGGAGCAGGAGCAGAGCAGATCCAGAGCTGCAATGGAATCTTCAGCCAGGAGAGAGAGCCCTTGTCTCAGCCCTCAGCACCCACCAGCTTGTTGTGCCTCCTGCAGCACCCTGCAGAGAGGAGAGGGGGGCTGCCAATTAGGGCTTATCAAAAGCCAAGCTGTCAGGAAACAAGATGTATGATCAAGTGGCTCCTGCAAGCAGCACCAGCCTGAGAACAGCTTTGTGTCAGCAGCTCTGTGTCTTCCCTGCAGGGTTTGGCACAGGCTGGAGGTGTTGCATGTCCTCCTGGCATTTCTCTGTCTAGATAAAGTGGTTCTCTAGGTTTAATCAGCTCCTTTCCATCTTCTTGTCAAGGTAGTGTCTTCACCTAAGCCTGAGATAGATACACCCCCCAGGAGGTGTTTGGGAGCAGCATCCACACCTGGATCTGATGGGGAAGAGCATTTTAATGCCTCTGGGTGACAATCTGTTAGAAAGAACTCTGAATTCATGTGTTTTCTGACCTGTTGTGGGAGAAAACAAAACTTCTGGGTATAAGGAGCGTGGATTGGGCATCAAGAATTAATTAATCAGTGGCAAAAATCAATGTAGCAATGAGTCAGACCAAGCCCCAACCCTCCATGGAGCCTGTCAGTCACTGTCACCAGGGCCAGGTGCTTACAGGAAGAGTGTAAGAACTAGAACAGGTAGAAAGTGATTTTGATATCATATTTGGTTGTCTCAAGAACCAGGAAATCCTGATTTTCCCCCTAGGATTCCAACTACAGGCATGTGCCCTCTCTGCCAGCTTGAAGCAATGAGATCGAACAGGAAAAATGCCCTTTTTTTGGTTCTTAAACCTATCTCCAAATCATTTGCAGTCTCATAATCTCTGTAATTCTCTGTGTTATGACCTTGTCGTATATAAAAAGCTGAGAGCCCTACTATGTGCCTTGGCTGGGAAAGAGCAGGAGACAGGTAGGAGGGAAGGAGCAACCACTGGATGCTGACACTGCTCAGCCAGGGGAGGGGAATTAAGAAAGGCTGAACTCTTCTGCTCTCTCAAATAGCTGAACAGAATCTTCAGTTTGCCCTAAGGAAGCTCAGAAAGTTTTGCTTTTTCAAGGTCAAAGCTTGTCCTCAATTTAAGCACCTTTGATTTCCCCCTGAACTCCTAACTTTCTGCATCCCTCTTGTGTTTCTGTTGTCATACAGAAATCCCTCATGTTCTCCTGACACAATTTTTTCCTGGTTAACTAAGACACCAGAGGATTCCTGGGCATCCCCAGGTGTTCCCACCTCAGGCCTGGCATGTGGAGACAACTCAGCAGCTAATGAGGTGGAGGTGTCTCATTATGCCATGGAGAATGTGATGTTCTAGCAGCACTGAAAGAAGAATTGGGCAAAAAAAGCCCTTGATTTGCCCAGCAATGTGACAATCTATTTGTTGTTCTGCCTAAAATGAGATAAAAGTAATTGGGCACCCTGTGGTGGTGGAGAAAGGTATGAACAGACTTTCCTCTGAGCTCCTACAGAAACAAACAGAGCTTTTCCCTGTCCTGGGGTGACATTTGCTGCACAAAGCACAGCAAGACCAAATGAGTTGTGTGATGTTTTGACCAGTGTCCCACGTGGGTTTTAACAATCAACACAGATTTTCACAAGGTCTTGCTGGATTTCTGTTGGGGGAAGGAACTCTGTCCAATATTTCTGGAAGCTTCACCTCCCTAAATTACTGTATGACCCATTCATCTTCCCAGGCACATGGTCTCTAGTTTTTCCTCTGTGAGACATTGGCACAGGTTGCCCAGGGAGGCTTGCCCGGGGAGGCTGTGGCTGCCCCAACCCTGGCAGTGTTCAAAGCCAGGTTAGATGAAGCCTTGAGAAACCTTGAGCAACCCCCAGGGCAGGGATTTGGGGCTGGGTGTTCTCTAAGCTCCA